TATAAGATTCTTAAGATTCACGTTAAGATTTCAATATTTATTTAATATAGATTAATAACAAACTAGCATTATAAACATAAATATTTTTAAAACTATTCTGTAGAATTTAATATTATCGAGGCTGAAGATCGCTTGATTCATCAAGCTCCGACAATTTTTAAATGTTTGTTTTCCAAAACCAAACTGCAAATACCATAGAGTTGTAGGGAAAACTATTCAGAAGCATATGGGTCACTGAATAACAATAATTATATTATAGTTTATAACATATGCAAAAAAGTTTGCAGATGACAAAAATTCACCATGGTAAATAGAAAGGAGGAAGTCAACTTCGAAAATTGGAGAACTGTTTACCGTTTCTTGTCAATAATACTTAGGATACTAAAGCAGGAATTAGATGGTATAGTAGTTGTTATCAACTGTAATAAACAGTAACTTTAATTAGTGACGTCACTATTGCGCTAAGACCTGCCTATTTTATGAGCCCCTTCTCTTTAATAAATTTTAAAGGTTATTTATTCCTTATTATAGAATTCATCTATTAGTTGCTAATTCCTTATAGGGATAACGACAAATTTAATGGACGGATATTACTAAATTTAAACTTAAACTAAATTTAAATTTTAATAAATTGCAAACTTTAACGATTATGCGCCGATGTGGGACAAGCAAGTACGCTTGATTAAATTTTACGTAAGTTATTTCTAATAATAATATGCCGCCAGACTTTATATCAATGTAAAGAGTCTGCAGATTTTCATGAATATGCAGAATATACCACAAACAATACATAAAACACAAGAACAGGAAATTAGGAACTGTTTCGTATAGACAATTAGATACTTTTATGTTATTTTTTATTCATTAGAGCAACCATCTAAAATATTTCTATATTTTGGTACCTATGTGTAATGAATATTATCTTTTAATAAACAACTGAGTTTCCATACATATTTGAAGTATGTATCGAAACGATTTTGAGTCCGATGAATCTGTAAAGGAAGCCAATTGGCTAACAACACTGACGTCACAGGAAACAGTAGAAAAATAAAAGCTAGATAGATAACTTGCACTGCCAACTGTTCTTTAAAATAAAAATAACAGTTAAGTGCACGTTCACCTTGCACGTTACATATTCTTTACCATAAGCCGCCTCCTAGGTTTTTAGATTGATCATAACAAATTACAATTGAACTATAATAATTATTATAATGATGCCAATTATTGCAGTATATACCACATCTATTTCTGCATGTTCACTTGCTTTCTGTAACCTTTTTCAGAACGATCCTTTAGATTTAGATGATAAGGGTGAAAACATGTGACTTCTTTTATGTTACTTGAAGATACGGCAACATTTCAGCCACTGGTTTAGAAATGAAACACAATAAAATTCTGAGTTGACTGGGAGTATTAAGTCCGCCCTTTGTAATCCTTTTATTAAGGCGTACAATAAAGTGTAAATAAAGATATAAAAAATTATAATTTTACAAAAAGTTTTGCACTCACACAAGTATTAGGAGAGTTGCAACAACGTCGATCTAATCATACTAATAAAATAATAATAACGTTTTATTTATTCAAAATCAATAAAACTTTTGCGATGTGAATTAGAAATACAGATACAACACTTGTATGGAATGAATTTAAAAACGTTTATAGTAATACGACAAATCATCTTTACTAACTTGAGTTTTTGAACATTAAATTACGACACTACAAACATTGCACGTTGAGTAATTGACGAGGAGTTAGTGTCACGTTAGGCGGGTGTTTTAAAAATAGTAATTGTGTGGTCCGAAGTGGGAGGAAGGAGGGTGAGGTGACAGAAATGTACGAGGTGCCGACAGACGCGGCAGATGCTACAACTTCTGAAAACAAATGACAGCACTTAATGTAGCTGTAAGTGACGCTGTTCGTGCCTTCGACGTCCCTCAATTATTGGACGCTTCACGCTAGTCTCTGGTGGAAAGATTAATCGTAAATATGCGTTATTTAATCGTCAATTATTCGTCGTGTTGTTCACTATTCGTTATTTAAATATATACATAGGTACTACGTTTAATTATGAGAGCAATCGTAATCCCCGTTCGTTCATCGTCAATCATTTGTATTACTTGATTATTACATTGACGCCGTAAATTACGGTTGACATCATCGGGAAACGAATTCAAAGAGATATTTTTTGATTATAATTTAGAAACAAATAAATTTAGAGCCTGAACCTGACATCTGTCTATATTGAATACGTACGTACTGAATGCGTAGCATATATTAATACAACTGATAATCATTTTGATAGAAAAGAAATAAGTAATTTTATTCAATATTGTGTCAATCACTTTTTACTCTATCCTTTCTCTTACAAGCCCGTAAATCCAGACCCGGAACAATTAGCCATACAAATAGCCACTTATTTATGTTAAAATACCTTGTGAAGTAAATAAAGAATTATTATTATTATTATTATTATTATACAAATACTTGTTCCGTGCGGGATTCTAATATTCTGCGTGGCGCAGTAAGTCTACAGCCGGATATAGATTTCTCCCGTTAGGGAAGATTACGTTTATCGCTACGATTGCCAGGCGGATTAACGAGCGCAGCACCAGACGTTTTGCATTTAACGCTAATGTCCGTCGCGTCACCATTCATCATAATGAGCTTCAGCCTAAGCAACAATCGACGCAGTAGCATAAAAAAGGCACACCATTCCCCAAGAAGTTGAAATTGTCCCTCGCAATCGGCCGGAAAATTTATTGCCACATATTTAACATTCAAAAAGAATTCTGTTGATTGATTTTAGAGGGAAAAATATTTCATTTCAGTGACAATAATACGTTTCAATAATTAAAAGGTTTCAGAAGTTAAAGGAGGAAAGAAAGCGAGGAAGATTGGGCAAAGGTGGGCTTGTTTTTGCTAAATAACGTGCCCATGCTTGAGCATAAGCTTTATTTATCTTGTTATAATTTGATTTTTTTAAGTACCGTACGAGTATAAGTTTTCTTTTGAAATTATGAATAGAGATGTTATATGGGTAACATGTTTGTTTAATTCATGAAATAAATCTCATTCTTAGGGAATAAAACATATAAGTCTACACGAGTAATAATAAATATTACATGAACCAAAAAATATTCTAATTTCTTTAGGAAATATCGATCATTTTCTGAAAAATCGATCCAAGGTACTGTTGCTGCTAAAGTCAGGGAAATGTGTAGGTATTTAAAAGAAAATACAATTTTATTAGCAATTGAAGTAGTTTTCTATTTTCACAAACATAACATAACACGAATAATAAATCACGGGTTTAGAAAATAAGTAACAGAAAAACAACAGTTAACAAGGGAAGAAAGCATTAAAAATATGTTATTAAAGCTGGGTTGGTGACCGGGTCAAAAACTTGGTAAAAATCATCGAGGCTTGCTGAAGCCTATCTCTTTGAAAGCATATTTTAACAGAGAAGGACTTGGTTGTAATGACAATGTAAATATTATAATAAACACTAAAAAAACGAAGTCAGACTTGCTCATAAAAGAGCAAGAGATCTGAAATCAAAGAGACAATATTTGACAAACAAAACAATGAAGTCCAAACACCAAATATCTTGAATGTTATATATATATATATATATATATATATATATATATATATATATATATATATATATATATATATATATATATATATATATATATATATATATATATATATATATATATATATAATACTGGATTTGTATTGTTGTATTGATTAGGTGTATTAACGACTCAGTGGTACAAATGCTTAGCATTGAATTGCGGCGCTAAGGGCTGTGGGTACGAATCCCACACGGAACAAGTATTTGTATGACCTACAAATAATAATTGTTTCAGGTCTGGATGTTTGTCCTTGTACAACTTATGTTTGTAAGCTGCCTCCGCGTTACATGCTTATTATAATTAAATGTCGAAGTCCTTATCAGATGACTCTTCGTCGAATACGTCGCGAAGGGTTTCGTACAGGGGCGAAGATTGATTGCATTTGATAAGGCTAATTTTTACTTGCAATATGGATTTAAAAAAAATAGGATGTAGGGTATTTACTATTTATACCCTAAATTCCATAATGAAAGTACGAATACGCATTGTTTGTCTATTAAAAGTTCGTTCACACTGTTATTGTTTTGACAAACGATAATTCCAGGCTAGGGGCTATGTCATTATTTATACGGGCTGAACACGCAGAAAAGGGCTAGATTTAGCCTTCAAGTGGCCAAACCGGTATAGACATAACGTATTTCTCCGTACGTAGAAGCCAAAGCCAAAAGTGCCAAAAATTTGTTTCGCAGACGTTTCATCGTTTCATTTATTTTTGTATATTCTTTATTTTAAACACTTATACTAAGGGTACAATGTGGGTTTTAGCATTCTTTTCCAGGTAACCTTGGCACTGGGTAAACTGAAAAATTATGGCGGGTGGCAAGTGGCAACTAAAGATACACGCCAAACCATTATTAAAAGGATAAAACAGGTGCAGCAATCCGTTGGCGGTCAAGTTCCCGTTAAAGTTACTCCGTTTTCTATAAAATATTTAAAAAAACACTCTTGTAGTTCTATAATACAAGAGAGTTTTTTAATTTTTTTTCATTTGATGTGACATGGGCACAAGGTCTTGTCAACAAAACAGAATCACTAGCAACAAACAAAAAGAAGACATTAAGCGCGGTATACATATATATTATCCATAATCCAAAATATCGTAACATTTTTTTTTTGAAAATAAACTCGTCAAGTCAGAACAGTGCCAGAGATGATATAGTATCTCGAGTCTCCAAAACTGATAAAACATGTATGGTTTTTATCTTCACCGGAATACTTGTTACATCGCTTTTATTACACCAATTTACGTACATCAAAATCCACTCTAAATCATAATTTGAATCAATACAGAAGCGGCAATTATTGTGCTGCCAAATTGCCGGCAAAACAAAATATATAGCGAGTAGTGTTGTTACGAACCTCCCGGGGCGAGCTGCTCGACGGCATGTGAGCGGGCGCTGGCCAGCAGCAGCGCGCACGCCACGGCCGGCCACGCGCGCCACCCGCCCGCCCGCATTACGCCGCGCCAACGCACGCGCGCATCCAAATCATGACCCGAGCTGCAACAAATTAAATTATTTTTTTATATTTCATTATATAACTGTCTCTTTGTATATTCGGTTCAAATTTTGCTATCGGTTTTAAACTAACTTTACGATGAGCTAGATTCGAAACTTCAAATATTGCTAGTGGTCGAATTTCGACCGTAATTAATTCAATTTTTAAGTTTGTAATATTGAGCAAGATGTATTTCACTGCTTTGCTTACTATTTGCTTTTAACTGCACATTAATATATAAAACACCGAAAGGGTCACACAGCCCGTCGCTCAGCGTCAATCCTTCTACCCCAAGAAACTGATATCACATCACGTTGCGTTCGGGGTCAACGAGATGGGCGTGACCCCTGGGAAAGGGTGGCCACCCAAGGACGTCTGTCCTCCCTCTCAAGAAAGGTTAGACTACTAAGATTACGGGTCCCTATGGAATGGTCCCGGTCTTGACGTCCATCGGAAGGGACTGTACGAGGGTGACAATGAAAGTTCTTACAAAATCAAAAACTGAACAAACTACCAAATTATTCGTTTTATTATATCTTTTCAAAATAGTGTCCATTTACATTAATATATCGCTGCATCCGATAGAAGCACAGAAAAGCACTTTGCCCACTCATCCTTAGGGGTCTCTTCGACGGCATTTTGAAACGCAGCCACTGCTTCCTCGGCGTCCATAAAACATTTTTCTCGAGATTTATTTTTATTTTCGGAAATAAATAAAAATCGCAAGATCGAGGTTATGGGGTGGGTGACCCAGTAATTCCACGTCTAACATCGCCAATTAGTCGATTGTTTGCTTGGCGGTGTGCAACGAGACGTTGTCGTGGTGAAGGAGAATCCTACTGCGAGGTCGTTTCTCCCAACTTTTTCCAAGACAAGTGCCAAACAATTGTTAGTGTACCACTCTGCAGTAACTGTTTTTCGATTCTCTAAAACAATTGTTGCGTAATGACCTGTCCTTCCGAACTTTTCCCACGTTTCGACATCTCTTCACTTTTGTTAGCAACTCCTCTGAAGGAAACAGACAGCAGACTGTCTCTTAGTTTCAGGATCATAACAATAAATCCAGCTTTCGTCACCCGTAAGTAACACAGCATTTGAGTCACCTCCGTTAAATCTTTGAACCATTTCACGACACCAGTCAACACGACGGAATATTTGGGACTCTGTCAAATTATGAGGTATCCACGGGCACAAAGCTTCCTGACCGCTAAATGTTCATGGAGGATTTTGTGCACTTGACTCATACCGATGCCTATGTCCGAATCTGCTGATAAGTTACTCTTTTGTCAGTCTCTATCATACGCCGCACAACACTATAACTACACTATAACACTATAAAACATCAATTTTATCTTCGTAACTTCCCCACAAGAGTGCAACATTGAAACTTTCACTAACTTTGCTACCACTTTCCCTACTGCCCTCTCTCTTGATTAAAACTGTAAAACTGGTAGCTGGTCCCGAACGAATTTCCAAATTATCAGTTTACTATCCTAGTTCGCGAGCTATACGTGAAAGAGAACCGCGCGCCGCGGTTTTTTATTTTAACATTGACTTTCATCATTGCACCCTCGTATTTTACCCCATATCTTTATTTCTTTAAAACATATGTTTACACAATTTTATTTATAAGAAACACATACAAATACTTATCATTATCTTATACATTATATCGTTATCACATAAAAAATATTAAGATATTCAACAAAATACACATATTTTACAGAACATTTTCAAAGTTACAAATCCTAAATATCCATTAAACATGGTCAAAACAACAAACTTTATTAATAAACATGAATATCTTAACTAATTCAATAGTTTAATTCACAAATTAAAGGCATTAATACGTTTTAATTCGCCTTTAATCTATACAAATAAATAAATTGAAGTGTCCGTTTGTAATGTCATAATAACAGCTTTTTACTAAATGCATATGAAAGTAAATACGGTACTTATAACAAAAACACAATTTTTAAAATTTTTGACGGTCTGTCTGTTTGTTCCGGCTAATCTCCGAAACGGCTGGACCGATTTCGACGGGACTTTCACTGGCTGATAGCTGAAGTTATAAGGAGTAACTTAGGCTACTTATATTTTAGAAAAAGAATTAGGGTTCCACGCAACATAATTAAAACCCTAAATTACAAGCGAGCGAAGTCGCGGAGAACAGATAGTTTTCTTATATAAATCTATTATTATTTCACTATTTTACATAATTTAGGCACTGTTTGAATCCCATATAAAATGAACGACCTATCTCTGCACGTCCCTCATCGACTAAGTAGGAGGCTAGTGCTTTCTTTGTCTAAATTGCAACCATCTCTATTTATTATAAAACATTATTTGTTTACATATGCTATTCTTATCTAGCCTTTATGTATCTTATCTCTTATCATAAGAATAAAGTATATTTTTATCTAAAATAAGTATCTAATTTAATACAAGACTGTTATTCGTATTGCATAGCCGATTACTATGTAACACATGACTCTAAATTAATCTATAAACAAACTTTCGCGGAATATAACTCTCGACCGGGGAATTGAGCCCTGAACTTTCGTTTGACAATTAAATATTGAATCTATTTACTTCTAACATAGATTACCTTATCATTTGGAATGCCTTATAAACTTTAATAACAATAATTTTAAATACGAATTTATTTATAATTTTTTTTTATAAAATGAAAAATGACTATATACTATTTTTAAGCGCGTCGCCAACAAACAGATATTCTGATCTACAAAATTTAAAATAAACGTTTATTTGCCTTGACATACACTCCACACTCTACACTATAAAAAGAGGAACATTAGATATCACAGAAAATTCACTGCTCGTTCCAAGGCTCATACAGTCAATATGTCAATAATTATTATGTGGGCAATGTTTTAAAATTCTTCGGCGACAACCTCCACTTTATTTGTTATCTAAATGCTATTGTTTGACCAAAGACCATAAACTATCATGTGTTTGACAATTGACATTGGCAGTCTGAACAGTGCAGTGTGTGACATTGAAAGTGTTGAATGTATTTGTAACACATGTTATACATAAATTTCCACCTTCTTCATATAAATTTTAACTATACAAAATCTCACACTCTTCCATGAGCGCAATATGCTTAAAAACACAGAACTGGATGACATGCAATATTAACTCACTTTTTTGTCTATCCGATTGTTTCATTATCCAGTACATTTTAAACAAATATTAAAAAGTTTGGCGGGGCGATCAGGATAACAATGATAAATAAATAATTTCACTTTCAATTTCAAAAAAGAGACCTAAGGCTTTTGTTTTAATTCGTTAAATTCGTTAGTTAAGTAATGTAACATTACTCCAACGAATGGATCGGTAAACTGAAGTGGCAATGAACCTCAAGCTGGAGATGGAACTTATAGAACTAACAACCTATGGGGTAAAAAGGTTCTCGAACGTTAAGCGAAGTGTAAGGCAGCCCCCCACTAGGTCGTCACTCCATGATCTGTTAAGCGATGCAGGATGTCGATGGATACAGGTGGCTTAAGAAGTGGCATTCTTTAGGGGAGAATGTTGTAATGATGATGATGATGATAATGACGATGATGATGACAATTATTTACTAGAGTATAATAATTGTATTAATATGAATATTCAGTTGTTTGAGCGATAAATTTTACACTTTTTCAACATTGAAGAGATACGGAGATGTAAATTGACGTAATACAAAAAATATTTACTAATCGCAATATTAATGTTATAAATATTTATCGGTATTATCTAACGACGTACGTTTGCGTGTTTATGTAATAAACATACCGTTTCATCAATACAAAGTAGTATTTCTATAATAATTGTTATGGAGACAAAAAATATTAAAGAGAACAATAATGGCCGTTTCATTGATGAATGAATAATTTTTCATTGATCGTAGTCGTAGAAGCCGCGAGTTACATGTAGCTAAAGTAATTAGCGTGGGAGCCTCCACGATTCCCACGAGACCCGGTGTAGTGAATATCGGTTAGGAAACGCGTTAGGCGAACAACTACTCACTCATAAGGCTCGTTGGTTGCGACTTGCGATCGTTAACTAGCTCCTTATGTCTTTATGTACACATATTTTTTCACTTATTGTTCAACTAGTAGAAATCATAGTTTTGGTGAAATTAAAAATATGCCGTATGATGTAAAATAGCATGTAAATAACATTTTTATTTATTGTAGGAAATATTAATAATACCCGGAGAAATACATTTTAACAACCAGGAGAAATAGGCCAGTAAAATTGCATTTAAGATTATAAAAGGACTAATTAATTACCAAAAGCACATACAGTCTTAATCCAATAAATTGTTTTAGTACTAGTTTAAGCCAGGACTAAAGGATCCAGGTGTCATAATGATAAAGATATCATCCAAACATACATTTGTTACAGTATTAACGTCCATACTAAAATCAAAGTGTGTGCTTATTACAAAATAAGGACTACCCGAGGATCTGTGAGTACCCAAGTTCGTACTACTTTAAATAACATCCACAGATTTTTTTTTAAAAATGGCACTCTTTCAATCGTTCATACAGGTTTCATTCAACGTTCTGTTTCTCTAAATATTAGTGTTATTATTACACTTGATATGCTTAAATAATTATTTATCAATAACAATATATTATATCATACATTGTTATTTGTTAAGGTTACAATCTATAGAACAAGCACAAATTATACTTAAGACGCGCTTTTTATAATCAAACTGTTTTAAATTCAACAACTCTAGCGTGAAAAGTAGTGAATTACATAGGTGCCGCGAACGAGTAATCCGAGATGATCAAAAATGTTTATGTTGCAGCCATAGAATAAATCAATGCCGTTGTTATTTTAATTCATTGTTCTAAGTATTGTGCTATTGCAGGTAGTGAGGTTTTGTTCGGGAGACTGTGTGTGTGTGGATAAATAGTGAGCTACCTATATAAAACT